GCAGGCTCTGGAGCCAAAGAGCTCTGGGATGTCTCCAGTAGGCACCCCCACACCCAGCCCGCCCTGCTCACCTCCCTGTAGGCACCGAGCCCAGCACAGGAACCTGCCATGACCTCCCTGCTCCAGCTTCTCACTCTGGCCTCCTTCTTCCTACCAGGTGAGCTTTGCTGGCCTATGCCTGTCTCACAAGGCCTGGCCTCCGCTAAGTATGACTCCCAGCAAACTAGACTATGCCTGGGTCACAGATTTGGCCACTGAGATTAAGGGAGGGGCCGGGAGGCAGTGGCAGGGAGCCGGGCAGGAGGCCAAGGACCCCATTGGTGCCACCAAGCCTCTGATCAGTCCCTGGCAATGGACCATTTCTGGGGCTCTAGGACGGACCGGTCCAGGGTGCACTGATGTGAGCAGAGCAGGGTCTTTGGCCTCTCTGGAGCACCTTATCTGGAGTAGATTGTAGGGCTCTGTGGTGACCCCCCGCCTGTATTACTGTCCTCTCTGCCCCCACTTCCTTTCCCAGGCCAGACCTCATGGGGCGTCTCCAGTCCCCCAGAAGTACAGGGTGTGCAGGGTTCATGCTTGCTCATCCCCTGCGTCTTCACTTTCCCTGCTGACGTGCCGGCGTCCAGTGGCATCGTAGCCATCTGGTACTACGACTACTCAGGCCAGCGGCGGGTGGTGAGCCACTCGGCAGACCCCACGCAGGTGGAGGAGCGCTTCCGCCGCCGAGCCCAGCTGGTGGGGCGGCCAGAGAACAAGGTGTGCGACCTGCAGCTGAGGGACCTGCAGCCCGAAGACTCGGGCTCCTACAACTTCCGCTTCGAGATCAATGAGGGCGACCGCTGGTCAGATGTCAAAGGAACCTTGGTCACCGTGACAAGTGAGGAGTGGCTATTCTCTGGAAGGGAGTCCCAGCTGCCCCTGGCTCCACTGGCTCACAGCTCCAGCCACAGCCCTGGTTTCCCTGAACCCCATACCCACCCCAGTGACTGGGGGTGTAAGTAATTTCCCTTCCCCTGGAAGCCCTCTTCCTAGGGCTTGGGCTACCCCTTGACTGGGGTCTCCAGGGCAGGAGGTCTCGGGCATGGTGAAGGGTAGTCCTGAGTGCCCCTGTCTTGGTCCTCAGAGGAGCCCAAGGTCCCCACCATTGCCTCTCCGGAGGAGCTGCGCGAGGGCATGGAGGTGAACTTCAACTGCTCCACACCCTACGCATGCCAGAAGGACCAGGTCAGCCTGCAGTGGCACGGCCAGGACCCCACTCGCTCTGTCACCTCCAACCTCCAGAAGTTTGATCCCACCACCGGCATCAGACACATGGAGACCCTCCACATGGCCCTGACCTGGCAGGACCACGACCGGACCCTGCGCTGCCAGCTCTCAGTGGCCGAGCACAGGACTCAGGGCGAGATTAATCTCCGGGTGCAGTGTGAGTGCGTTGGGGGCCGCACCCTCATTACCAAGCACATGGGTGGCTCCCCAGTGGAAACCAGCTTGGCCCTCCAGGGTAGCGTAGGTAGAAAGAGAATGCTAAGCCCTAAGAGCCAAGTTTAATGGCTCCCATCTACCTCCGGCTGGCTTCCAGGGTCTGGTCCTTGAGGTCAGCTGGGCAGAGGAGACACGGAGGACCAGGAAACAGGGGCCCCTAAGTAGCCTTGAGGGTTGGCATCAAGTGCCCTGAATGTTAGCCCAGCTCTGGAGGATGCTGAGGAGGTGGGGTGGGCCCCTTTCCTGACTTAAGCCAGCTCACAATCACGGTGGTCAGGGCATCCCCTGGCATGGCCGAAAGTCAGTGGGGAGAGAGCCCAAGTACCTGCTGGCGGCGCGTCTTCCATCTCAGTGTAACAGGGCGGCCTGCTCCAGAGTAGCCTCTGTTCGCAGGCCTCAGGCTGCTGGCCCCTCACCCACGGGAGCCTCTGCTTCCCTGTCCCCAAGGTAGCAATATGGAGTTCCTAGCTCATAGAATTATGGTGGAGGGACCAGCAGATGGTATAACGGTTACATTGCCGGACTTCCACTTAGTCGCCTCTGACCTGGCGGCTTAAAACTCATGCCAGGCCTGTGTGCGTGCGTGCCCAAAATCCTGAAAGGAGAGTGGAGGAGAAGGGATTGCAGTGTGGCCATTCTCGGGGTGGGGGAGGGAGATTTGCTTTCTGTCTTTCTGTCTCTCTCTGCAGACACAAACCCCAGTGGAAAAAAGCTCTCTAAAAAAAAAAAAAAAAAAAAAAAACCAGAATTTGGTGAAAATTAAAGGGGGTGACACGGAGGTAGCAGAGCGCTGGCACACAGGAAGCACTTGAAACTATCCGTAGTAGCTTCTGTTGGCATATTTGCGTAGAAAGAGGCTCTGGGACGAGACATAAAGAGAGTCAGTTTCTTCCCAGGGTTGGCCCCTTCCTTACAAACTGCTTAGGTGTTCCCAGAGCTGACGCGATGCTGCCTTTGGTGTCCTTCCTTGGGGTGTCTGTCCCTTCCCAGATGTGGCCCTAAAATAAGAAGCACCGTGCCCACACCCCTGTCCGTGGAGCTCACCTGCACCTAGACCAGGGCAATGACAGCGCTGAGAAGCACAAAGTGGTAGGAGGCCGCGTAGCCTGGACACCAGGCCAGGCAGCACACGGTCAGGCTTGCAAGGGAAGGAAGGGGTGAGGCACGTAGCAGGGGTGGGGGTGGGATGGGGACGGACGCCCTGTGTGGGTGTCTTTAGGGCAGAGTTTGGAAGGGGCTGGGCCTTCCCATGCGCCTAGCCCAGCACCCTGCCTCATGCCTTGCAGATGCCCCTAGGGGCGTGGAGGTCCTCCTCAGCCCCTCGGGGCGGAACATCCTTCTGGATGATCTGGTCACGCTCGCCTGCCAGGTGAACAGCAGCTACCCTGCAGTCAGCTCTGTGAAGTGGTTCAAGGATGGGGCTCCCCTGGAAGCCACGGCTCGTGTGCTGCAGCTGTCCCAGGCAGCCTGGACCGATGCCGGCCTGTACACCTGCCAGGCCGAGAATGGCGTGGGTTCTGTGACCTCGCGCCCTGTCAGCCTCCACATTTTCAGTGAGTGCCAAGACCAAGTGGGCCAAGACCAGCCCCAGGGCAGGGAAAGGTCCAGCCCTCTGGGCTGGTGGGAGGCAGGCCAGCACAGAGCCAGAGGCTACATACCTGAGGGCCTTGTGAGCTGTAGGTGTGGAGTCCCAGTCCTGCCTTACTGAATTGGATAACAGGGCCTCTGCAGGCCAGAGGTCAGGAGGACCTGGGCAACAGGACAGACGTGGGGGCAGCTCTGGGAGGCTCAGCAGAGGGGCTCATACCACATGTGCAGAGGTAGAGGCTGGTTGGCTATGATCGGGGGACCCTGAGGGTGGAGCTGGAAGTTGGCTGGGACCCCATCCCCTCCCCCATGGACCCTGTGCTGCCCTTGCAGCGGCCGAGGTCAAGGCGAGCCCGGCAGGCTCCATCCTGGAGAACCAGACAGTGACGCTGACCTGCGACACGCCCAAAGAGGCGCCCAGCCAGCTCCGCTTCAGCTGGTACAAGAACCAGGTCCTGCTGGGGGACGCCCACACCCGTACCCTCCAGCTACACTCAGTCACCAGGGCTGACACCGGCTTCTACTCCTGCGAGGTGCACAATACCCAGGGCAGCCAGCGCTCTGGCCCCGTCAGCGTGGTGGTCAGCCGTGAGTGCCAGGGCAGGGTGGCACTGGATTCTGCCAGGGCGGGACTGGGGGCAGAGCCCGGGAGGAGGGTTGGGGTTCTGGCCGTGGACCCTCAAGGCCACTTTATCTGGATGTGGCTCTTCAGTCAGGTAGTCCTGAACTCGTAGCAGCTCTGCATTCCTGGGCACAACTTTAATCTTTTGGGGCCTCGGTTTCCTCCTGTTTATACAACCTTTTTATTGGAAATAAGTTCAAAGTGATGAAAATATGTTAGAATGATTAGACACCCAGGGACCAGCAGTTAGCGTACTGGCTATGTTGCTGGACTCCCATGTAGTCGACCGTGGCTAAAGTTCTGGACCCGGTGGCTTAAACTCACGGCGGGCGGACGGGGGT